AGAAAGAGACAGCAGTAGTTTGATGTGTCCACTGACCTGGTTCTTGTGCGCATTGTCCTGCAACATGAGCTGCGTGATGTAGAAGGAGGTGAGCGCGTTCCCGCCCAGCGCCGCGGTGTACGCGCGCACTATAGCTAACACCTGACAACGACAAATAACTACAAATATCGAGAAACAACTAGAAAAAACTGCAAACTATCACTAAAACTAAATATGCCTGAAACATCTATGACACTTGGTAAAATACTCTATGATTAAGAGTTCAGTATCGATCACTAGATGGCACTAATATAAACGCAGCATGTAATTAATATTTATACAAAACAGATATCTTTAATAAGATATTTGTATTACTGGAAATAACTATTTGTACTGTTAAAAATTTTATGTTATAATAATTTTAAGAACTGGCCATCAACAATCCGCAATTAAAAAAGAAAAAAAAGCATACAGGTAGGCGAAGGTATGCATGAAACCACTAATATGCACACAGCATTTAATTACATTATTTAAAACACAGGATATTTATATATACAAAATGGTAATACTTGTATTATTGGAAAATAATTTTTAGAACTGGCCATCGACAAAATTAAAAAAAGATAAAAAAGCATAAAGAGGGATCTAGATGTGATTCGACAGTGTACCTCGCAGGCGAAGGTATGCATGAATCCACTGAGTCCTCCCAACTCTCGCACGGCGGTGGTCTCGCGCACGAAGAGCAGGCGCAGCGCGCACAGCCGCCGTGCGCCTCCGCCGCCCAACGCGCACAACGTCGACAGCGACACGCGCACAGGGGACTGCGAATCATACATTTATAACTAAAATATTTTAACATGAAACCAAGGAGATTAAAAAAAATACATAGTTCACTTGGGACATTTTTCACATTCACTAACGCCATCTATTGATCAGGTCTTCAAAACCACATATCAATATTGCATATAAATTACCAATAGGTGTCACTAAATCATATTTAAATGTTTTATTTTATAACAAAATATGGAGCTTATTACAATTTTGTAAATTTTTTTAACATGTCAACAAGGACACGAGGTGGCACTAAACTTGACAAGCGACATGTTACCTGTCAGAGTAATTACCGGTGAAAAATTTTTATTCACTATGCTTATCATGTTTCTTATATGTCTTTGCAAATTTTTGCATGTATTGAAATAACTACAAAACTGCTGGACCGATTTCAAATATTCTTTCGACAGTAAAAGCTACATTATCAGTGAGAAATATAGGCTAAATTTTTTAATTACACCCGGGCGAAGTTGCGCGCCTTACCTGTCCCGTATTAAGCTTTTCATCAGTAAGTTCAGTGTTGGGTTTGATAAGCTGCTCCTCATCCAACGCGAAGATGTCATCATCGGCATCGGGGGCGGAGCCCTGCGAGCCGTTGTGCTCCCCCCCCCCCCCCCCCCCCGCCACTGCCAGAGGGATAGCTGTGCCAGCTACCACCAACTGTATCTCATCCTAAAAAAAGGCACTTTTAGAACATAGAACAGCTTAACGCACTTTAAGTTTATAAGACACTAAATACGACTCTGGTTAGATTTTACTCTTAACAAATGAAAATGGAAGCGATGCAACACTAGCGCCATCGTGGCGATAATAGCGCCAGCATTGCACCACTAGCGACATTGCGGCAGTAAAGAGTACTACGTAACGTCGCCTGCGTTCGATAGTGTCTACTTCGATAGTAACCGTCGGCAAGAATATACTTCTTGGATGGCTGTCAGTAAGAACAGACATCGTTATTGACTGTCAGCAAGAACGGTGTCGTTGAAACTGTCACGCGTTACGGACTCTGTCACGTATGGATACGTACCTCCGGCGACAAGGAAACTCACTTTTGTCGTCGGAATCCCATACCCCCCAACGACAAAGGAATCCCCCCTATTAATAAAAGTCGTTCCTAACTTGTTAGTGTTAGTGGGTGATGAAATGTCAGTAAAATGTGTGTCACCACCACTGGAATGGGCATGTTATGAGATGGATTGCGTGAGAGACATGATGAAGGGAGTGATGACTGAGATGACGGATGATAGAGTACGGGAGTAGGATAGGGAGGATGATGTGTGTGTACCGACCTCCGGCAGGTCGAGGTGGAAGGTGGGCG